CAAAACCAAAAAAAAAAAAATTAAAATACACTGTTTGGTAGTATTCACAAAGAATTACATCATAGGGGAATAGTCAATGAAAACATAACATCAAGTTCTGATCTCCCAGTACGGTAGCAGCCCCTTATGGAATTGCATACGGATGCTGCACATTTAAGGGCCTGTTTTATATTTAAAACGTGGAATACTTTGAGAGAGTGTTCAAAGGACCCATACAAAGTACATCAGGTATGTGAACTCATTAGGGGACATTTGTCTTTAAAATTATATTTTCTTGTTGGCACACACCTTTAATACTAGATGGAGGTAGGCGGATCTCTGAATCCAAGGCCAGCCTGGTCTTCAGATCAAGTTCCAGGACAGTCAGGGCTTCACAGAGTCTCTGTTTCAAAAAAAAAAAAAAAAAAGCCTTTTCTTGCTTTTTCTTTCTCTCCCCACCCTCTGCCTCTCTCTCTCTCTCTCTCTCTCTCTCTCTCTCTCTCTCTCTCTCTCTCTGAAGCTGAGGGTGGCCTTGATCTCCTGATCCTCTATCTCTGGAGTGCTGGGATTACAGGTGTGGATAACCAGGTGTGGAGTGTTGAGGAGGGAACCCAGGGCTTCACGCACGGTTGGCAAGCACTCTATCAGCTAAGCTACATCCTCAGCCCCGGATCCCAAATCTGTCAACTTCCAACCAACCAACTGGATATTGTTCCCCAAAGAGCCACAGCCTTGTTTTCTGTCTCTGTGGTGAAACCTGGAGTCCTCCAATTTCTGTTACCATGAACCAACTAACCCTGTCAGCCATGTCCAAGGAAAGCCACTGCTCTTGGCAGTGACTCAGCACCAGAACCAGGATCTGGAGAGACAGATGTCATGATGGGACAGGCACGTCACCCCAGTACTGGGAAGACTGGGATGGGAAGAACACAGGTTCCAGACCACCTGGAGCTATACAGTGAGGCTCTCGCTGTTTCTTTTTTTACTTTAAAATGTTTATATTGATTTACTTTTGCTTGTGTTTATATATGGGCACAGTGCATTCCGTGGCACACAAATGGAGGTCGGAGAATAACTTACTCGAGTCTGTACTCTCCTGCTGTGTGGTTTCTGAGCATGGACTTGTCAGATCTGGTAACAAGAGCCTTTGCTCTCTGAGTCATCTCTCTGGCCCATAACTGTTTTATTTGAATGGGGGTGGCGGTGGTGAAGAATGAACTTGTACGCCTCAGACTAAACTACAGGCCTGTCTCAATTTCTGCCTGCCACCAACAAACTCACACCAGCCACTCACGGGGTGCTCAGCCTATCACCTCCAATCAAGGTATCTAGAACACACACACACACACACACACACCACTGTAAACTGGACGTCACATCACACCAGATGAACCACAGAACTTCAGCCTCCTCTGGAGGACTAGCATTGAATTCCAGATTAAAATGCCCCCTGCTACCAAAGCATTGGGCTAGAGATCCTGACCTCTGAATATCCCCTAGTGATTTGACTTGGCCTCAGGTCAAGAACCTGTCCTGGTCTCTGTTGGTCCCGGAGAAAGTCAGGAGGAAGCACGTGTCTGCCTTCTGGTGGCCAATTGTAGAAGAGCAGCCTCGGTAATTCTTTTGGACCCCTGGTCTACTACCCAAGGTGTTACAGGCATGAAGTCTGGGGGCCACCTTTGGTCCCTTGTCAGTTCTCACACAACACCTCCAGAATCTGTCTTTCCACTTTTCTTTTCAGTATCTCTTTCCACTCAGATCACTCTTATCTATTCTGGCTAAGATTTATTCTCCTGATCTTATGCCCTGCAGCCCATATCCCATGGGACCCCACAGGACTCCAGGCTTGGCTGATTTGATGCTAAACTTGAGATCACAGACCGCTGCCCCTACTCCCCAGATTCTACTGCTGAGTTTTTTGTTTAGAGTCAAGGTCTCCGCTGTGGGTTAGATTGGCTTTTGTTTTTGTTGTTGTTTTTTGTTTTGTTTTGGTTTTGGTTTTGGTTTCTTTCGAGACAGGGTTTCTCTGTAGCTTTGGAGCCTGTCCTGGAACTAGCTCTTGTAGACTAGGCTGGCCTCAAACTCACAGAGATCTGCCTGCCTCTGCCCCGAGTGCTGGGAATAAAGGCAGGCGCCACTACCACCTGACAGATTAGCAGGTTTTTTGTTTGTTTGTTGAGACAGGGTTTCTCTATGTAGTCCTGACTGTCCTGGAACCCACTCTGTAGACCAGGCTGGCCCCAAACTCAGAGATCTGCCTGCTCTGCCTCCTGGGTGCTGGGATTAGAGGTGTGCACCTCCACAGCTCAGCTCTGCAGTCACATTTTGAAGACATTTATTTGTTTGTTTGTTTTTTTTTTTTTTTTTTTTTAAATATTTATTTATTTATTATACAATTTTCTGTCTGTGTGTATGCCTGCAGGCCAGAAGAGGGCACTAGACCTCATTACAGATGGTTGTGAGCCACCATGTGGTTGCTGGGAATTGAACTCAGGACCTCTGGAAGAGCAGGCAATGCTCTTAACCACTGAGCCATCTCTCCAGCCCTGTTTGTTTTTTTTCTTGAGACAGGGTCCCACTACGTAGCCCAGGCTGGTCTCAAGGATTTGTTGTTAAGTTTGATTTATGTGTGTGGGTGTTTTGCCTGGTGTTGGAGAAAACCAGAAGAGGGTAATAGATACCCTGAGAATGGAATTACAGACAGTTGTGAGCTGCCATGTGACTGCTGGAAATTATATCTAAGTCCTCTGGAAGATCAATTAATACACTGAGCCACCTCTTTTTGTTGTTGTTATTGTTTTTTGAAGAGTTATTTATTTATTATGTATACAACATTCTGCCTCCATGCACGCCAGAAGAGGCGCCGATCTCATTACAAATGGTTGTGAGCCACTATGTGGTTGCTGGGAATTGAACTCAGGAACTCTGGAAGAGCAGCCAGTGCTCTTAACCTCTGAGCCATCTCTCCAGCCCCCTGACTCCAAGGCCAGCCTGGGCTCCCACCTCTTTGTATGTGGACATATATGTATAGATATGTATAAACATATAGTCTTGGCTGTCCTGAAGCTCACTATGTAGACCAGGCAGGCCTTTGAGGCCTCATAGAGCTCTGCTTACTTCTGCCTCCTGCCTGAGTGCTGAGATTAAAGGCGTATGTGACATGTCACCTAACATATATGTAAACATGAGCAATGAGTATTACACACCTCCTTCATATGGAATCTCTGAAGTCTGCTGTGTTTTCCATTCAGAATGCATGTTTCTCACTTTGTGTGTGTGTGTGTACACGTGTGTGGTGTGTGTGCACGTGTGTGGTGTGTGTGTGTGTGCACACATGTACATGTAGGTACCTGGAACCCAGAAGAGAAGGTTAGATCTGCCGGAGCTGGAGTTACAGGCAGTTCTAAGAAGTCTGAAGTGGGTGCTTGGAGCCCAGCTCGGGTCCTCCGGAGGGCAGCCGAGCTCTTAGCTGCTGAGCCACCTCTCCAGCCCAGTGGCAGCCACACACAGCCTTGCCTCAGGCACACAGTTGTCACGCTGGGCTGCAGGCTTACAAGCCTGGAGCAGAATTCCAGAGCCCTTGCTAACCTGAATGAAGGCCACAGAAGGGAGAAGACTGCTGCTGGGTGACACAAGGGGATGGGAGGAATGTGGACACTGCAAGGCCTTGGGGACCTTACTCCCAGATCTTCCAGAAATGTCACCACAACCTCAGTGAAGCTCCAAGCCGCCCAATCAAGAGCAGTTTCTCAACCTGACTAGGCACCTTTTGGCTCATTTTATCACAGTGTGACTCCCTGACCATGCCTGGGTCTCTGCCATCAGGGCTCCTGGATAGTCAAATCTGCATGCTCCACTAAAAAGCCAGCCTCTGCCGGGCGGTGGTGGCGCACACCTTTAATCCCAGCACTCGGGAGGCAGAGGCAGGCAGATCTCTGTGAGTTCGAGGTCAGCCTGGTCTACAAGAGCTAGTTCCAGGACAGGCTCCAAAACTACAGAGAAACCTTGTCTTGAAAAACAAAACACAAAACAAAACAAACAAACAACAACAACAACAAACAAAAGCCAGCCTCAGGGCTGGGGCTAACGTAAGCGGTAGTGCGCTTGCCTAGCACTGCCTGCACCAGGTGTGGTGGCATGTCAGGAATGCCAGCCCCTGGGAAGTGGAAGCAGGATGATCAGGAGTTGCCATGGCTACACAGTGAGTTTGAGGCCAACTTGGGCTACTTGAAACCCTGTCTCAAAAACAAAGACAGTTACTAACTCATGTTCTTCAGGGTAAAAGTCAAAGCCTCCTGCAGCTCCCAGTCTCCCTCACCAAGCTCTCCAGGTCCTCACTGCTCTTCCGGCCTCCTGGCGCTGCTGCCTCTGTGCCCAGAGCCTTGGTCTTTAAAGGATGGGCAGCTGCTCTATCACTGCCCAGGCTCGCTCACCCTCTCCGGGAGGCCTTCTCTGGCCAGCATGGTCTCGCTTTGTAGCTCTGGCTAACCTTGAAGTGGCTATGTAGATGCAGACCAGGCTGGCCTTGAACTTAGCAAGATCCACCAACCTCTCTAGTGCTGAGACTAATGGCATACACCATCACACTTGGCAACCTTTGTTATTTTTAGAGACAGGGTTTCTCTGTGTAACATCCCTGGCTGTCCTGGAGCTCACTCTGTAGACCAGGCTGGCCTTGAACTCAAGAGACCTGCCTGCCTCTGCCTCCTAGGTGCTGGGATTAAAGGTGTGTGCCACCACTCGGCTAAATTTTATTATTTTTAATTATGTGTGTGTGTGTGTGTGTGTGTGTGTGTGTGTGCATGCACGCACACACGCGCACAAGTGCAAGTGCCTTTGAAGGCCAGAGATATTGGGTCCCCTACCGCTGGAGTTACAGACAGGTGTGAGCTGCCATGTGAGTGCTGGGAACTGAACCTGATCAGTCAGTGCTCTTATTGGCTGAGCTACCTCTCCAGCCCCAATTTCTCAGTAAACCCCCTCCTTACCTATAAAAGAGAAACCAGGAAACCATAGCCAAGTAGCAGCTGTAACAGCTTTATTTCGGAATACAAAGCCTCTCCCTGGGCGAGGCAGACTGAGGGCAAGGTCAGGCAGGAAAACAGCAGACAGAGGGGCAGCCGGGTGAGGCAGGCAGGTCCTGACAGCTCACACAGGCTCCATCTGTAGCTCCTCTCCATCTGTCGGCTCTATCTGGTGGAAGGCGGCATGGGAGCCGATGACCACGAGGGTGGCTCCTGTAGGACCGTGGGTAGTTCAGGATGCATTCTCTCCCCTGGCTCCCAACCTCACCCTACCCAGACCCTTTACTCACCCAGGACCCAGAAGACAGCGGAGCCAGCACCTGCCAGCCAGAAGAAGGGGAAAGAGACTCCGCCAGCCAGGGCGTACTGATGCGCGGGGCTCACCTCTCGGCCTGGGGAAAGATGGCATTGGGCAGCTGTTCCCCCCTCCATCAATCTAATGTCACAAGCTCTGGAACCTTCTATGTATTAAGACAGACTCCTCACATCAGAGCTTCCCATCCCTAGCCCGACCCTGATTCCCCAAAGCGCCCTGCCCAGACCATAACCACCTTCCTCAGTTCCAGTTCCAACTCTGCTCTCTGTTCCCACCTCCCCTAGGCCCCAGGCCACGTCTCTCTCAGACTAGACTAGCCTCATGTTCCAGCCTGGATACCAGTCTCAGGCTGGTGGCCCCATAGCCAGGTCTGACCTAAGGATTCTTGTCCTCTTTTTTATTTTTAAAGATTTTATTTATTATTTGAATTATGGGTGTGTGCCCTGTGTGGTCATATGTGACAAGAGTTCAGGTGCCCGAGGAGGCCAGAAGCTGGAGTTACAGGTGGCTATGAGACAGTCACCTTACTTGGGGGACTTGGGTGTTGGGAGCCAAACCTGGGTCCTTTGCAAGAACAGAATTCAATTTTAACCTCTGATCCATCTCTGCAAACCCTTATTCTGATAAAAAAACAAAAACAAAAACAAAAAACTCAGGCTTGTTTTGAACTTGCCACAATCTCTCTGCTTCAGCCTCCCAAACGCTGGGATTATAGGCATGAGCTAGAGCTTCTGGCTTTGAGATTGTGTTCTTTGCCATGTTTCACAGGAATTTGGTTTGTGGGGGCTGGAGAGACGACCCAGCACTTAAGAGCACTTGCTGCTCTTCCAGAGGGCCTGCCTTCTGGGTGCTTAACAAATTTTGTAACGCCAGGGCATGGTGGCACACTCCTTTAATCCTAGCACACAGGAAGCAAAGGGAGGGGGAATCTGTGAGCTGGAGACTAGCTTCGTCTATGTAGTGCGGTCCTGGCAGGCCAAGGCTACAAAATGAGACCCTATCTCAAAACTGTGTGTGTGTGTGTGTATAATGTGTGTATGTGGAATGTGTGTGTGTGTGTGTGTGTGTTTTCAGGCTCTCCTACACCTGGAAATTGTGTGTGCCCCAGTGATGATCATTTGCCAAGGTCAAATTCTCTTGTACTTCAGGCACTCCTCTGCCCCAGCCCTTTGTGCTGGTACCTAACTTGCTGGGCCCTCAAAGACCTTGTCTTAGGTTTCCTTAGCAAATCCGAGATGTTCCCCTAGGGGGTCTTCCCTGACACATTTCTTCCCAGTGGTAGCTGGGACCAGTCTAGGGCCACCGGACCTACAGGGCTCAGTTTCCCCCTCTGAAAATACCCACTATCTGTCGGGTTCTAGGACCAAGGCCTGGGAAGGCGAATCTAGGCCCGCATAAGGTCGCCACCTGGTGTCCAGTGTGGGTACTTGCAGCTGATGCTTTCCGCAGGGGTTTGGGAGGGATTGGGAGGATTGAGTCATTTTACCCGAGAAAGAGGAGCCAGGGGTGTCGGAGGCCTCCCTGAGTTTGGGAAGCTGAGACTGGAGGGGAACACCTGGTAGGTCTGAGCCCTTAAGGACTAAGTGTACATCTCGGTGGGGCCGACTTTAGTCCCAATATTTGGAGGTTTGCATTCTGTGAGACCATGACCAGAGAGACCTAGGGATCCATTTGGGCAGGGGATTTCTCACCAAAAAGCACAAGCTTAGACTGCAGCGTGCGCAGATAGAGAATGTAACAAGCTCCAAAGAAGACAGCCAGAGCCACCAGCAGCATGGGGGATGTCACCCTGGAAGAGCATGGGGGACAGGAGTCAGCCATCTGAGGCGTGTCAGCTGGGTCCCTCTAGCCTTGGACATCACATACTGCATTCTGGTCGGGTGGATTCAGGAGTACAGACAGACCTGGTCCTTTAGTCACCAGCTGTGGCATAGGTAACTCGTGGGGGCGGGCCCTGATAACAGGGGCGGGACTTAACTATCGAGGGCGGGGCTGCAGAGGCACTCACACGCAGTAAAGGATGAGGCCCAGAAACACGAACACGTAGTTGCTTTGGTAATACTCCACATTGCGTGCCAGGCGCTGGCAAAGCTCGCCCAGGTTGCGGGGTCGCGAGAAACGCTGCTGGTCCACGAAGGTGCCCCAAGGCCGGATGGTCGCGCGGCGCCGCTCCAGCCACTCTCGGCCTGCGCCAGAGGGAATCAGTTTGGGCAGCAGGGTCCTGAAGGGTGGGGCAGATCAGCTGCAAGCAGGAACAAGGGCCCGGACCCCAGATCCCAGTACCCACAGTCCCAAGGATGACCTTAAACTCTTAGGGGAAAGGGTCCTGGGAGACAGTTAATACTCCTGAGTCCCTCCCAGCGGGGAGGGGCTGAGGAGACGTCTCTGAAAAGGAAAGCTCTACGTCTGGGGGTCGGGATTCCTGCATCTCGGGTCTCGAGGGTTACATCCTGCTCGCTCACGTAGCGCTCAGCCCTTCCACCTCCGCATCCTTCTGCTGGTCCTTCTGGGTCGCCATGTCTGCACTGCAGTTTGTAGAACCGCTGTAAACAGCCCCGAGCCCCGCAGCACCTAGCCGGCCCCGCCCGAAACCGGACTCTCCGGACGTGGCAGGGCTTGGAGCCCTAGGGGGCGGTAGTTGCATCTCCGAGCATTGTGGGAGTTGTAGTCATTGCGGCGTCAAGAGGGCGGTCTAACTCGCAAGCCACCTTGGGAGATGTATGCTAAGAGCGCGGCGGGAGCCTCTTGGCATTGTGGGAACTGTAGTTTCACAGCGTGCAGTGTGACTGGTGGGCTGTCAGAATGGAGGGCTTTATAGGAGTTTGAATAGCTGAAACAAGCGTTCTGCACGATTTCGTGGACCATGCAGAGCTGTCGTCCTGACTCCAGAGTGCTTAATAAAACATTGACCGCAGCTTCAGATACTCTGATTGGGCAAATCCGGGATGGAGTTCATTTATTTTTCTTTCCTTAAAAAAATGATAATATATATGTATACATATATATTATGTATACATCCAGCTCTAGTCGACCAAACATACTCGTGTATTAACTCATACACACAAAAATGTGACTTAAAAATAAAAAATGTGTTTATGTGTGTGTGCCACATGGGGGCAATGCCTGAGGAGACCCAAAAGAGTGTATTTCATCCCCTGGAACTGAAGTTACAGTTATGAGCCGTTCAAAACATGTGTGGGAATTGAACTCTAGTCGTCTGGAAGAGCAGCAAGCACACTCTTAACTACTGAGCCCTCTCTCCAAACTCTCTTTTTTATTTTTCTTTTAAAAATTATTTATTTTTGCCGGGCGGTGGTGGCACACGCCTTTAATCCCAGCACTCGGAAGGCAGAGGCAGGTGGATCTCTGTGAGTTCGAGGCCAGCCTGGTCTACAAGAGCTAGTTCCAGGACAGGAACCAAAAAAGCTACAGAGAAACCCTGTCTCAAAAATAAAAAAAAAAAATTAAAAAATTATTTTTTTCCTTTTTTAAAAAATATTTATTTATTTATTCATTCATTCATTATGTATACAATATTCTGTCTGTATGTATATCTGCAGGCCAGAAGAGGGCACCAGACCTCATTACAGATGGTTGTGAGCCACCATGTGGTTGCCGGGAATTGAACTCAGGACCTTTGGAAGAGCAGGCAATGCTCTTAACCACTGAGCCATCTCTCCAGCCCAAATTATTTTTTTCAAGACAGGGATTTTTCTACATAGCCCTGGCTATCTTGGAACTCTGTAGACCGGCTGGCCTTGAACTCATTCACCTATCTCTGCCTCTAAGTGCTCGGATTAAAAGCATGATACTACCACCTACCTTTTTCAATGATTTATTTTTATGTTCATCAGTGCTCTGCTTGTATATCTGTCTATGTGAGAGTGTCGGGTCCCTTAGAACTGGTGTTACAGACAGTTGTGAGTGGCCATGTGGGTGCTGGGAATTGAAACTGGGTTCTCTAGAAGAGCAGCCAGTGCTCTTAACCTCTGAGCCACCTCTTCAGCCTGCCAGTGGTTACTTCTTTTGCCTCTTGAGTTCCCAGAGCAAGTGGCACTGGGAGGCCAGGAAGATATTAGCACAAACCTGTTTATAATGCCTGCTGCAGGACTTCACGGAGACTCCTCCCCTTTTTGTGCTGTGTGTGTCTGTCTAAGCAGGTGTTCCTCCCTGGCACTGGATGAATGAAACAGAATCTGTGGGTGTCCAAAGGGCGGTCTTGGCTCATGCAACCCCTCCCAGGACCATTCTGTCCTGAGCTCACCAGAGGTCGCAGGGCTCCAACGATAACCTTGACCTCTTGATCCTCCTGCCTCTGCCTCCCAATTGCTGAGATTACAGGTGTGAGCTACTAGAAAATGGCCAGTTTTACTTTATTATTTATTTTTTGATTTTCCGAGACAAGGTTTTTCCTAGCTGTCCTGGAACTTGCTCTGTAGACCAGGCTGGCCTCAAACTCACACAGAGATTTGGCTGCTTCTGTCCCCGAGTGAGGAATTAAAATCATGCACCGCCCCCACTTTGCAGCCTAGGAGAGTGTGACCTCAAATTTTTTTTCCTTTCTTTTCTTTTCAAGATAGGGTTTCTCTGTAGCTTTGGAGCCTGTCCTGGAACTCACTCTGTAAACCAGGCTGGCCTCGAACTCACAGAGGTCCACCTGTCTCTGCCTCCAGAGTGCTGGGATTATATTAAAGGCGTGCACCACCACCATCCAGCTGACCTAGAACTTTTGATCTTCTTGTCTCCAGTTCATGAATACTTACAGATGTGTGTCCTATACCTTATTTATGTGGGGCTTGGATCAAACTCACCTTTGGTAGCCAAGTAGTCTACCATGTGAGTCACACCCAGGCACTTGGTTGTTTTAAAGGTTTCATGTTATTTATCAATGGTGTCTGTATGTGTGTTTTATAGCATCTGTGAAGGTCAGAGAACAGCTTTCAGGCTAGCCTCAAACTCAGATCGGGCTGAAGGTATATGACACCACACTCAGCATCAGCTGGTTGTCTTGTGTACTGGCACATGCACACATTCACTCTTAAAGGCCACAGCATCCTTGCCACCTAGATTCCTGCACGGAGAGGCTGACAGGCCAGGGCAGGCATGCCTAGCTGCTTAACACCGGGAGGAAGTTTGGCTGTCCAATCAGAATGGCTAGAATTAAAATGCTTGCTTCTGCCACCTAGTGGCAGGCATGTGGAATAGATTTTTTTTTTTTCCTACCTTGTGGGATGTAAATACCCAGTCTATGCTTTGGAGATAGATTCTGGAAGTTTTCATTAAAATTAAACAGCCGAAGAAGTAGGTGAGGTGGTACACACTTGTAAACCTAGCATTTGGGAAGCAGAGGTACAGGATTGTAAATATGAGGCCAATCTGGTCTACACAGCAAGACCGTATAAAAAATTAAATCCCTGCCGGGTGATGGTGGCGCACGCCTTTAATCCCAGCACTTGGGAGGCAGAGGCAGGCGGATCTCTGTGAGTTCGAGACCAGCCTGGTCTACAGAGCTAGTTCCAGGACAGGCTCCAAAGCCACAGAGAAACCCTGTCTCGAAAAACAAAAAAACAAAAAAAAAAATTAAATCCCTATAAACAATGCCTGACTCTGTGAAGCACACCTTTAATCTCATCATTTAGAAAGCAGAGAAAGGTAGCCCTCTGTGTTAGAGGCCAGCCTTGTCTAGAGAGCGAGTTCCAGGACAGCCAAGTCTACACAGAGAAACCCCGTCTTGAAAAAATAAACAAAACCCCACAAAGCAAAAAAAGAAGCCGGTGTGAGATACATATCAGCACCCTGCCTCAAATATCAAACAAAATGAATAAATAACAAAAATATGACTGGCTGTCTCGTTCTATTCCCAGCAGCTCCAACATGGACATACAAACATGGATCAATAGGGACCCAATTAGAAAGAGTGTGTTAGTCACACCATGAACAGAGCCGTGATGATGAACACAACATCGTGGAGATGCTCACAAAAGCATCAAAGGATTTGCCGTAAGAGTTCATTTGTATGCAGTTCAAGAACACACAGACACCTGCCTAAAATCCCCCAGTGAGGGGCTGGGGTGGGGCTCAGTGGTAGAGCCCCTGCCTAGAATCTCCCAGTGAGGGGCTGGGGTGTGGCTCAGTGGTAGAGCCTCTGCCTAGAATTCCCCAGTGAGGGGCTGGGAGTGTGGCTCAATGGTAGAGACCCTGTCTAGAATCTCCCAGTGAAGGGTTGGGGTTGGCTCAGTGGTAGAGCCCCTGCCTAGAGCCCCCAGTGAGGGGCTGGGGTTGGCTCAGTGGTAGAAGCCCTGCCTAGGATCCCCCAATGAGGGGCTGGGGCCTAGCTCAGTGGTAGAGCCTCTGCCTTGTGTGGTCTGAGTTTCAATCTCAATATGACAGAAAAAGGAAAACAGACAAGTCAGCATGACAGATTAATCCCAGCAATTGTCACAGGAGAAGAGCCAGCAGACATAGGGAGAGAGACGCTTCCTAGGTGGGTAGAAAAGTTCTGTACTTTTACCTGGGCGGTAATTACAGAGATACTTTATTTTGGTATTGAATAATAGATTGTATTTATTTACGCTAGGGATGGAACCCTGGATTTTTCACAAGTTAGGCAAGTGTTCTACGACTGAGCCATGCCCTAGTCACAACTGTATTGTGTGCATGTGTGGTACTGGTGTGTTTTTGTGTGTGCACACACACATGTGGGTATATGTGCATATGTATTTACTGTGTAGAACAAGGCTGGTCTTCAACTCACAGATCCTCCTGCCTCTGGCTCCTGAGTATTGGGATTAAAGATCCTGGCAGCAACTTGTTTTTTGAGACAAGGTTTCTTACTAAACTTGGAGCTCACTGATGAGCTGGCCAGTGAGCAGCAATAGTCACCTGCTTCTTCCTAGCCAGGGCTGGGATTGCAGATGCACACCTCCACACACTTTCTTAAAGTTTTTTTTTTTTTGTGGTTTTTTTTCGAGACAGGGTTTCTCTGTGGTTTTGGAGCCTGTCCTGGAACTAGCTCTTGTAGACCAGGCTGGTCTCGAACTCACAGAGATCCGCCTGCCTCTGCCTCCCGAGTGCTGGGATTAAAGGCGTGTGCCACCAAAGCCCGGCTTTCTTAAAGTTTTTTAAAATTATAATTGAAAAGATTTTTTTAAATATTTATTTATTTATTATGTATACAATATTCTGTCTGTGTGTATGTCTTCAGGCCAGAAGAGGGCACCAGACCTCATTACAGATGGTTGTGAGCCACCATGTGGTTGCTGGGAATTGAACTCAGAACCTTTGGAAGAGCAGGCAATGCTCTTAACCACTGAGCCATCTCTCCAGCCCTTTGAAAAGATTTTTTTGAGGACTGGAGAGATGGCTCAGTGGTTAAGAGCACTGACTGCTCTTCCAGAGGTCCTGAGTTCAAGTCCCAGCAACCACATGGTGGCTCACAACCATCTATGAGATCTGGCGCCCTCTTCTGGCCTGCAGGTGTAGAACACTGTATACATAATAAGTAAAATTAAAAAATTTTTTTTTTTGGGTCACAGTCTCATTATGTAGCCTTAGCTAAAACCTACTATGTCTGCTGGGCTGGCTTCAAACTTCTAGAGGTTTACTTGCACCATGCCTGGCTTAAT